CTCTATGGCTAAAATATTAAAAAAATTTCGACATACCGTCTGCCGTAAATCATCCATAATTTAGACACCCATGTATAGGTATGCCACATTGTAAGAACATCAGTACCCTAGCCATGACAAAAAAGTTCGTGTCATATAATAACTAATAAAATCTTAAAGTTTATTTAAAATAGGGTTAGGATTAGAAACAGAGTTAAGGTTAGAAACAGAGTTAAGATTAGAGAGTACTATAGATAGTATTGCTTGCTGCAAATATGAAATGCAACTTTTTTATTGTGCCACTAGGGTTGCGACTTATCGTCGCAATAGAATTTGACATCAGTTATATAATATTCATGACTTATTTTGTAATAATTACAACATAAATAAGCTATAAATATTAGGCCACGCAAAGTTAATTTTTCATTTTGCATTATATGGATTTCAGAATCAACGGTCGGCGGTCGGATTTTTTTTTTTTTTTTTTTTTTTTTTTTTTTATTCTACAGTAAATAATAGACATTTAAGGACACACATAGTTAATTTTCGCTTTACATAACATGGAATCAGAAAATTGAGTCGGCAATCAAATTTTTTTTATCAGTTCTATCAGACAATTTCGGAAAAATAAGGTCTCTACTGGAATAATTTGTGGGGGAAAATTAAATAGCAAAAATAGAACAATTGGCATAATTGGAACCTAAAAAAAAATTGAAAAAATAGGTCGGCGGGTAATGCAAAACAAAAAATTTACTTTGTGCGGCCTTATTATTATTATAATATAAATAAGTTCTATTTAAAATTTTAGAATTCTCATATAGCATTCCTGGTTTTAGACCGTTATAGCAAACCCACCAGATTATTATCGTACCTCCGAAAATTCCCACAAGTCATACATGTTTTCAGCTATATGCAATCTTGAAATGTTCTGATATCCTTCTATCTATTTACTGATTTTAATGCCTACTAATTTATAATAACCAATATAAGTTTTTTTTTGAATTATATCCATTAATACCATTAAAATAAACGTTTTTATACTTGTTTTAAAAGAATTGGGACTAAAAAAAAAAAAAAAAAAAAATTTTGGGGGTTTTGAAAAATTTCGGTTGGCGGGTAATACAAAACAAAAATTTAACTTTGCATGGCCTTAAGTTGCGACATTGCAGCAGGCAACACTAACTGTCATGTAGTTACTTAACATTGTGTGTACTACTTTAACTTTACTATAGGTCTTTACCCTCGCTTGGCCTAATTACGATGACTGGAGTATTGTACCAGATACTACTACTAGCAATGTATTCACACAGATTACAGTTTATATACTAAGAACAAAGCTTATTCATGAAGCGAAAGCTAGGCATCTTCCCTATTTGGATCGATGCCTTATATATTATTACTAATACATATTTTATTACTACATTGTTCATGCAATCACATATTAATTACTAATTGCTATTTATATTGTTCATGCGATACTAATCGCTTCTAATTACTACATTGTTTATGCAATTCTATTTTTAGACCTTTAATTAGATCGGGATCATGCATATCCCCGATCACAATATTCAATCACGTACCTGATTGCTAGTCACATGGGTACCACTACAAGAACATGGGGTATTAAGAAACACCGCAATACTAACTATAGGTAAAATTATCTACCCGGCATTTTTGTTAGTGCACAGAAAATTGTTTCTTATGAAACTTGTCGATAAATAAGCGATTTCTTCCAATTTTCTTTAGAGAGAACATTTTTCTGATTGTGTTATATTACACCAACTTGGAAATTGTTATTGGCTAATTTACTGCAGATCGTCACATGACCCAATGTTTTTTGCCATGGCTAGGGTACTCTAAGAACATGTTGATACGTTATTACAAGGGACATTTGAAGTACAAGGAATCCATCATCATCAAATCACGCGAAAATGTCTATTGGGACCACACTTTAATAATATGCATATAGAGAATAATAAGCAAAAGTTCATTTATGAAGTCAAGTATATATTTGGGCCAACACTTGGTAGAGAGGGCGTGCACTTAGAGAGAGGTCTGATTGTATACTAGATTTTTGTACTGAACTTTCATTAATAGCAAAAGGCTAATTTCTTGCAATTTTTTTGGTGATTGTTTTTTTTTCGCCTTTAATTTTTTATATGTTACACACTGATTATAAAACCTGGTTTGATAAAAATGCGCCATCACTATTTCACTTTATTTATTGACAATGCATATTCAATATGTAAATCAAAGTTCTTTATTATAATTAGCTTTTTTTTTTTATCATTATTGGTTTCGTACTAATATGAATTGAAACAATTGCTCATTCTAGAGCACTATACTGTATACTGTAAATAAGTAGCTGACTAATAAAAAATTATTTAAGGAAAAATAAAAATATTCAACTAATCTTTTGTTTAACACATTTACTGTATATTGAAAAAGAATCAGAATCTACAAAAATAGTTTTTCATATATTTAGTATAGTATTAAATTGAAAATAAATTTTGAGTATGATGAATTTATAGAAAGTCGACTAAGCCAATATTTGAAAAAATTGATTGACTTAGTAAGTCGATTAAGTCGACTAATATGCTATCGACTACAAACATTACCTGCTACAGGGGACAAAATTACTTAGATCAATATTCCAAAGTTCTTCATTTATTTCAGCGTTGGTAGGACTTAAATTTGCTGCAATTGATACACAGTCTCCTTCACAGAAATTATCACTAGGATTATTGGGATTTGCACCTCGATTAAGGTTTCCAGAATAAGCGATAATTTTATATGAAAGAGTTGTTTGTACTGGTACTGATTCATCAAAAAAAAAGAGACCACCTGTAGTCACAACAATTTGTTGGTTGGATTTATTAGTATGACCATTTAAAGAATAAGTTACTGAAAAACATTTTGCTCCCTCAGGAACTTGAACTACTAATTAGGCAGTACCATATACATTTATACTTGCTGCCCAAACCTGGACAAATCCCAAACCCCTAAAAAACAATTGCTATTTATAAAAAATTAGATCAAACA